ACCAGACCTCTTTTCGAGAGGGGAATTTCAATGCTTGGATTTGGGAAAATCGGCGAAGATCTGCAAGATGACATATACCACGGATTGTAACAGCGACTGAAACGACCAAGAACACAAAACACAAGGACCTCTTTCTCATTTCTGCAAGGCAATGACCTTGAGAATAAAACTGCACATTTATAAAACTAGTCTCAAAATAGGACCAATTGGTTTCCAAGTTTAATAATCGTGATTATTATGCCTCAAAGTCTAAAAGTAAACAAATAACATCCATGTTTCCTAAAGTGATTTGCCTTAACAGACAGAATTAATATGCAGTATACTTGAAAAAAAGATTATATTTCAGCGCGTGCAAAAAACTTGCATTAAATTATATTTGAGTCAAAGTATTTTATTAAAGGTAGAGTACTATTTCTGAAAGGATTTAATGTCAATCCAACCCAAGAGTTTTATCTGCTTTCATTATATCAGTTGCATTAATCTCTAGGACATGTTATGCCAACAGAAATGCATTTACCATATTATTTGCCTACTGACATTGATTGTGCTCGAATTATGAAAAATCGTGTTATGATTTGGTGTGAATGATGTCGATTGTTATCAGCAAGTTTTGGACGATTTGTAAATAGTAGTTTTTTTATTGTATGACATGATGTTTAATAGGTGCAGACCACATTGTTCCTTGTTTTAGGTTTGTTGGGGATCCACGATTCCCCAAGATTTGTTTCTGATTTAATTTACTTTAATTTTATTAATATTTGTTTTGTTACGCCTATATCGAGTCAAGATCAACCTGCACGTGGCTGGCGTGAATAAAGATCTCTAGTCGAGCTCTGGTCAAGTTCTTGTATTAGAATTGGAATATCGGTTCTAGCTTACAGCAAGGGAACTGGTACCGTTATTTGAGTGGTCTTCTTTACTGTTACGGGCAAACGCAACAAGGTTTCATAATCATTATGAGAAAAAGGTTTAAAGGTATTTCGAATGACCATATTGGATACAAAGACGGTCACAGTCTGCTCAAACTGTAGGGGAAAACAGGGTATTTATATAGACTTATCATGGTCGTCCTTTGGTCCGATCCTCACCCCTGTAATGGACACGGAGAACTTACCAGTGGAATAGATTTTAGACTTTCGGCGTGTCATTTGGTACCCACGTGACCCCGCGCAGCAGAAAGTCACGATCCTGAGTGGTGTAAATTACCAATCCCTAATCGGAAGTAAACTGGTTTAAAAGAACAGGCTTTATTGATCAATAACAAGCCGGAGCCACATGTGGGGCGCCCCTCATCCGCGTCCTCCACGCTGGGGACGCCTCTCATTGTATACTACACCTCATTTGTGTCCTTCTCTGTTTTGCTGATTATCTTTCTCGCAAGTCATTGGAACGCAAAGAGACACAGAATTGTCTGAGGCCAGGTGGTCCAATGTGTCTGCTCCCTGATCCGTCGCTAAACTGCCTCCATCTCAGAAGTGAAGCTGTCCTTCGCTTCTGACGTGGTTCACCGCACTGTTCATAATAGCAAAAATTTATAGTTCGACAATCCCCGCACCCCACATCTGGCAGGATAGTGACCCAGGCGAACAGTTGACGAGGGACTTTGCTCTTGTAGACTTGCAGGATGGACTTTTCATCCATCCCTTTGCAGTTGCAGTCCAGTTGGCTTTCACTGTCCAAGTCATTGGCACTGAGTTGCCAATGCCTCTTCAGATGCAGAAGTCCTAATCCCGGGCAATGTCTATGGATCCAGTTTATTGGACATCGGATCACCGCCATGACAATTTCAGCTGGCATTCAAGGGTCTTTGCCTCTGTTGACCATATAGGAAAAAGGGCTGGGGTTCGATTCGCGTTATTTGAACGCGTCCACTACCACCAATGTAGAATATCCAAGCCCTATTTGGAAAAAGACTGGTACAACAGAACAGGCTTTATTGACCAATCACAAGCCAGAACCACAAGTCAGTCGCCTTCCATCCAAGTCTACCACGCTGGCCACGCCACTCACTGTATACTGCAACTCGCCCGTGTCCTTCTCTGGTTGACTTCTTATCTTCGTGACATGCCACTGAAATGCAGTGCGACACGGGATTAGTTGATGCTATGTGTTCCAATATGTATGCGCCCTCAGACGTCGCCACTTTAAGCGAAGGATCAGAGAGCAGACATATTAGACAACAGTTTCCGTAGCCAACCCTGTGCCTTTCTGCGTTCCAATTGCATATGAAGAAGGTAAGAAGTCAACCATACACGAATGAGGCACAACATGCAATGAGCGGCGTGTCCAGCGTGGTGGACTCGGATGGAAGGCGCCTGACGTGTTGTTCCGGCATGTGATTGGTCAATAAAGCCTGTTCTGTAGTATCAGTCTTCTTTCTATTAGGACTCGGATATTCCCCAGTCGGTCACATGACTTCGCTCCATGCCGTAATGTTCACTTTCGACCAATAACTGAGCACCAAAAGGACGGCTATTTGCCATTTTGCTGCAATTTGCACAAATCTGCTAACAATCCAAAAACAATTTGTCGCAACTTAATTTTGCAGAATTGTCAGTGAAATATGTCATGCTTTTTTAAAGAGCATGAAGCATAATTTGACGGGGTTTAGTTTTTACGAAGTAAAAAAGCACTTTCGTGTCGTAAGATTATAATTAAATAGCTGGCTTGGCAATTCAGAGTATGGCGGCAATCTGCCTTGACAAGGTAATTTTTTAAATCAAACCTATTTTTTAAATATTAGACTTTGTGGTCCTTTGAACATGTTTTGGCATTATACTTCTGCACATTACTAAAGTGGAAAATGACATTTTTGTTTGATACTAATTGTAAATATTTAGCAATGTTAATTATAATAATAAACAGGACATTTTTTCACAAAATTTAAATAGAAATGATACGGTAGTACAGTTATAAGCTTCTTTTTCACAAATTTGTTTTATTAGCTCATTTTTTAAGGTCGATCATTTTCCCCGTATATTTATTATTGTCGTGGCGGCCATATTTCAACCGACTTTTATGTACGTAGAGGCTTCTCAGATTGTTAGTTTCTTTTTTTATCAAAATTGTTCTAGTGCAACTGATTTTTTTAGAAAATAAATGTCAAGAATTTTTACTGCAGATTTTTTGTCGGAATAATGAACAGCACAAAATCTAATTGTTTAACTAAGATAGGTTGGTTGTTGCAACTTTATTTTACTGATTAAATTCTACTTTTATAATATGGTAACAAAATTTGCTTGAGTAGTATAAATCTCGGTATTTGTCTTTTGGTTTAGGATCAAAAAAGTAATATTTTTTGTGGTAGTGCCGTTGTTCCGTTGGTTGATTTTGCTCGATGTGCATATTCTTTAGACCGATAATATTGGAATTGTTTTCGCTCTGGTTATTACTAAAAACGTGTGTGTAGTATATTTACTTAATTACAGTGTTAAACAATTAGACATTGAAAACTTTTCTTAATTTTTCCTGTGCTTAGCTAGGCGACAAAACAATTTCTTATGTGATTAACGACTGCTGCCGATCGAATGTGATAATGTAAAACTAGCATACCAGTGTCATTTCTACTTGTTTTTGAAAGATATGAAGTTGTGTCGATGTTTCCGAGTGAATAGCGCGTTTGGAATTTCAGACATTTAATCCTGTCATATGTGTTGAATGGAATAAGGTATTTTCCTGGAACGTTTCCGCGTTCTTTCGCATCACCATATTTTTTCTCTAATCACTTTAACGCCTTTATTGATGTTACGTATCACTGCCATGTGTTTTTACAAATGCCAGAGTTTACGTTACAGATCTTGGGCACGTCGCGTACAGTAGGTCATGATACTGCCGTCCGTTATCTCGTTCGTTTTCCTCGTTGTCCTGGCCAGTGTTGAAGCAGCGTTTCATAATGGTAAGTAGTTTCCTCACCGAACTCGGTGAAGTTTTCGCGTCCATTCGTTAATTTGATGATTGCATAAGTTCGAATGCTAGAGGTCATGATTGTCGCGCATCATGGTTTTTCTTGGTAAACTAAATTTTGCAATGAACAAAGTACGAAAACACGATTTATTTGCAAATTCAAGCCCTTATTTAGTTTATAATCCACGCATATTCGTGCATTCTCGTCGTTGATGTCATCCCATTCTCATAGTAGGAATCATGCGAACTTAAAATAAAGTTTCGTTTTGCATAACTTTCGGCTGGACGCTCGGAGGCCGTTGGCTTCTTAGGCACTTGAGGATGTGTTTGTGGCCATATTTCTGTTACCAAACTTGTACCTTGAGGTCGCAGCCCAAATGCCGTCAGCTGTCGTGCGTGTTGGTACGTTTGATAGTTTTTTTTCGTAACATGTTAGAGTGCGTGAACCATTGACATGACGCCTTAGATATTGCGGTGAGGCAGAGGATTGTGCGAATGTTAGTGCCACGATGTGTTTACGCTACCGTGAAATATGCATGTGTGTGTGTGGGTGCGTCGATTGCCAACGGACACGTAGGTAGAAAAATCGGACACAAACATGTGAACGCAAGCTGGTTTTTTGAATTGCACCTTCCACATTTGATGGCTTGGCAGCCGTGTTCTCCTATCTTCACCACTAACCGCGGCCGACTGCCTTATTTTGCCTTGTAGTTACCATTCCAAGTAAACCAACGTTCAAGGCCGGTATGTCAGCTTATAAAATGAGTGTTGGCGAGGTCACCGAGGACATCTCGCTGATGTCCTTCGGCTTCGACGTTCCTGCTGAGAACCCCGTCATTCTCTACAAATTTACCGAATTCTCTTTGCCCTCGTCTAACTTTAATGAACGCGAATTTTGCGCAAAAATCGAGTGTAGACTTGAAGATAGGCAAGGGAATCTGATAAACGAAGTGAGTTCTTGTTGATAGTCTTATAAGGCGTGAGATTTGTCACTTGATCTTGTCGCTGCCCATTGACGCATTCAAATTTGTCCGTCCAATGACGAAATTGACCATCGGAACAGCTGGTGCACAAGTGTTTATGTGTTTGGCGATAGGAGTAATAAAACGCCTAGTTAGTTCGCCGTTGTGATGGTTGATCCACACAAACATAGCCTTCAAGTCATTCTCTTACTGTTTGTCATGAATTTTTTTTAAATTACTCTTTGTTCTGGAATATCTGCTAACCGAAATCGCCCTTACATCCAACACACACTAGTGTTGTGAGCATTCCAACACAATTTGTTCAGAAAGTCCTTAACAACACCAGCTTGTGGTCCTGAACCACGCCGGGGCCAAGGAATTAACCCTGGCCCGATAACGCTTGCCTGATATCCGCGATGATAAAAAGGATCGGAGGGGACGTGGACACAATCGTTTACTTCAGAGCTCAACCACGGTGGTGTCGTTGTGTCGTGTGTGGCGCTTGCGCGTGTGTATTTAAACCTCAGATGTGTGAGTCATAGATGCGCAGACATCGAGACCTAAATGTGAGGGTAATTTAGGATGATCGTTCGCACTAATGAAGGGGGAGTTGAGGATCCGCGCGGCGAAAAGGGGGACACCCTGTATCGGAGACTGAAGTGACCGGACTAATGAGTGTCAATCAACACGATTCCCAACACATGAACCTCCTTTAATCTCGATACTCGGGGTGTATTCCCTTCACTGTCCTTCCGATGCCATCTGCTGAATGCTTTTTTAGATCAAGGCATCGTGCCAGGACATTCAAAATCCCGACCTCTTCGGACCCGTGGTCGCTGTCCCAGGCGCAACCAACGTCACCTGCACCCTCATCTGGCCTTTCCCTCAAGACAAGAGTGGCGTGGCGGACACCCTTCGAATGGCCTTCGTCTCCGCATGTGGGTTCCTCCTGACGCTGTAGCTAAGGGCTGTTTTGTGGCCTCGTTGACCACATCGCCAGTAAAATCACTCGGCGTTTCACCACATTTTAGACTACGGTTTTTGTGAGGAGATCCACGTTCTGGCGAACTCCTCCTGGTGCGATGTCAACGTGACCGGCCTCGTCAATGCGGACTACGAGCCGCTTCACCAGCTCCTGTGTATGGACAAGTCGGTTGCCCTCGAGACCTTCAATTCCTCGTGCTACGTGCCGCCGTCAGGCATGTCATCCCAAAAGTACCTCGCCATTCTCATCTCCCTCGTCTCTCTCTCGGTCTTGGCCGTGCTCTTTTCAATCGGGTTTTCGGTGCTGTGCATCGCGTCGAAGCGCAGACGCCAGAAAATTGCCTCGAAGGAACACGAGCCAGGAAACGCTCCCCTGGTTGACAAGAACGGCGCCAACGGCAACAACGATGAGGCGAATGTGCAAGCTTAGTTGACTTGGGCTTACTTGATTCATCCGGTTCCTCCATTGCCATGTGTACATAATAGGAAATTAATTGTCATGCAATCTGAGTCATCGCCATTCAGCTGTCTTACATTTCCTTCAGATTGGTCGTGTGCGCAGCTGGTCGGTTATTTTGTGTGCTTTTGGGGAAAGGCCAGACGCCTACACATCGCCAAAACACAGCCACACATTGGGTCAAATTCCCATCTGTCTTTCGAACCCTACCCTAGGGACTGCTCAGGTACCTGCGCTATCGTTGAGCAAAACAGGCCTAGTATTGAACACCACGTCCGCGTTCCATCGCCATCTCCAAGACCATAACCAACGCCGCCCTAGAACACAGTTGCGTGCTTACAATCGCCGTCACGCCGGGTTAAGAAACACGATAGGCGTGCATGTTGAGCACATCGCCCTAATTCCGACAGCGAGACGGCTGTGTTGTCGTTGCCGTTGTTCCGGCGCAGACGCACGTAGCGCCGCGCCTATTGATCGCCCACGTCGGACGCAGCCAATGGGCTGTGAGCATCGCGCGTTGGAAACGCTGTGGTGTGCGCACCAGCGAGCGTGTGCGCGCGCGCGCACTTTGAACGCGTCACCAGCTTTGTTCAAAATTAGTAACTCTTCGTCACCTCTAGACATATGCACACGTCTCAGCGCAAGGAATTGGGCAAGCGACAGCTGGCATTGGGTGGTGCGACACTGTGTCGAGGTCCTAGGTCATTCACTTGTACATTCTGGGGTTGCCGCCGAGACCATGTGAAATTCGACTCGCTACTGCGTGTGCAATTATTCGCGTTTCCGAGTGGGCGTTGCTTAATTATGCGCTGTACCGACTGCGATTAGTGTGTACGCCTGTGTGGATTTCCCGACGATTTCGCCAGCGCTTATACGAAATATCCTTATCGTGGAGTCAGAACACACATAAATCGAGTCGGTAATCGCATCGCGGCATCTGAATGCTCCACAATAAACCGCGCTTCCTACAAAGCGTCCTCTTTCGGTGTATTTGTCTTTGGTCACGAACTGACCGATCGTTTTGGTGAGGGTTAAAGTTTTGAGTATAAAAAAGTTCTAAATTGGAAGTGACGCGGTGTTTTTTGTGATTACTAGCAGGAAAAAGATACTGGATGCCACTACACTTTTGTAGACAAGGTGGGTGACCATAACTCGATTTAACGACCAATAGGAGAAAGAAATTGGGAAAAGCGACCAATAGAAGCCAGATCAGCTGATTAACGGTCCGTAAGGGTAGGTTGACCAATAACAGTTGGAACTAAGCCTCTGAAAATTGATTTCGTGATGAGTCAACTTTGGTCCAAACATACTTGATTCAAGTAACGGCTTTTTGAGTGCCTACGCACCGGCCAAATTGGCAACGTGGCTTGCGCTGATGCATTTACAAGAACAAATGCCGAAGATAGCTTGACTCCCACATTTTCAATGAAAAGGCTATTCAATTCCATGTAGCTTAGTTTCCCTGCTTTTGTGTCAATAGACTACTAATATGCGACAACTACCACTTTAGTCCAATATAATTACGATGATTCGTGATCAGGTAAAATTGAACCACTAGACGCCCTGTAAACCGAGGCAGACCTTTGATTGACATACATTGAACCTAAATTCCCCTTATGTATTCGGAACCGTGGCCTCCACATCACTACGAGTTGGCGAAGCCTTATTCCACCTTTTCTCAGTAGCAAAAAAGACAGGTTGATGAAAATCCTCTTTATTACGAGACTGCAAGCATTCGATATGAAGTCCGCCTCATGTCTGATTTGATTGGCTCGAATGCAACCAATGACGTGTCAGGGATGCGAAAACGGAGTCTTGCCGCCAAGCAACCTGAAATGGAACGAATGACAATCATTGGGAGAACCGTCAGATAGGAATAATAATTTGGTCAACAAGTCGGTGCAACCGATGAGATATCTATTCTCACAAGCATCACGCGGTCCTACCTGGTGAAATGCTCCAGTTCTGCGTAACAAGAGGCGCTAAAATGGAAAGAAAGCACGCATAGCAAACTGAAGACAAGAAACACACACGCCACTTGCATAATATAGTAAAGCTCCCACACAAAGCCAGTCTCTGGTGTATGGCACAGCGAGCAATCGGCATTTACGAAACGGTTGGCTCATCAGTCGCAGATGTGACCACGAGGGCGCGTCGACATGGGAAAGAGGCTAGCGATGAGTCAGCACGACACACCGCTATACAATCCGGTGGGGCTAGAACATAAAGAACAACCTGGCTCACGACGAAAATTCACACTCGTGTAATAAAATGCACGATTGTTTGTGGGTTTATCAGCTACGATAAGGAACAACGCACATTTGAAAACCTACGAACGGACAGAGCTCAGAAAAAGGTCAACCAGCTACGGTCAATACCGGGTTATTCGTAGTTTGCGTCACGGAATCCCCGTTGCCGCTCATCTGAATCAACCAAGACAGGATCGTTGACATCCAGCCAAGAAGGGACACAAAGAAGACAAATCGAGGAGCAACAAATGTCGACCTTAGATTTTAAAAAAATATAAAATTTTAATGGGGAGGGGTATACAAGGTTGGGACTATTGTGCAAACATTTGGTGGTAGTTAGTCCACATCCGGCTCGTCAAGGTACACGTTGGGCGAAGGCAGGTTTTCGAAATCACAGCTGTTGTCGCAGTTGGCTGCAGGTGGGTCGGACAATTTGGCCTCTGCACCTCGTCTTCCGCGTCGACGTTGGGCTTGCCGAAGTCTACAATCAAGGTCACAAAATTGAATAGTAGGGGAGAGGGTGGCGAGCGGACACAACTGTTGGCATTTAGACGTCGCCGCTAGTCAGCTAAAAAAACAGTCTCTCCGACCAACAATTACGCACACAACACGCAGCCAATCAGACCACCGGAATACCCAAGGCTGTTCTCCCAAATTCATTCTTGCAGGTCTAAATGACAAAAAAATGATCACCAAATAGGCAGCGAAACACGAAATTCGAGGCGTTCGAGTTGCGCAGTTTCACTCGAGACCAGGCGCTACACTAGCCAGACAGTGGAAAACGATGGCGACCATGACACCACCGAACCAGTAGTCGAGGCACACAGCCTCAACTAACAAAAATCATTAACCAGACAGAGTAGCCACTAAAGGAAGCTAACTGTGAACAAATTCACACGACGTGAACCAGAGATCATTCACCACACCAGGCGTGCGTTATGAACGACAAATTCGGGACTGAGACTTTACTTGCACCAAAAAAAGTGGCATTACAACTCACCGCTTCTTGAGCGCCTTCTCCGTCGAGGTCTCCCTAAAAATGACCTTTCGCTCTTCGCGGGAGACCGTGTCGGAGCGTCGGATTGTCAGGAAGTACACGCCACCCGGCGTTCTTCGACGGCTTCCATCCTGCACAAGACAAGAGGATGCACTCACTAGACGACAGCAGAGAAATGCGGATTGATGGTTTGTGCACAAATAAGAAACAAAACGTACGGCCGTGGGCAGACCACCGGCGTTTTCAATATCCTCGGTTAGGTAACAAAACTCCAGAGCGCGTTTTACTCCGAGGGTTTTCACGATGAGTTCTACAACGTCAAGGCAATCACACTATCAGCAACTCCCAACAGGAGGACAGGACAACCCCATAATATTTAAAAGTCACCGGACATCGTGGCATTTTTTTTAATCTTTACTACCTACTTATAACATATTAATAGAATGGGCAAAATGGCCCCGGCCAAAAGAAATAAGCAATGACCCCCATTTCCACGTGGAGTCAATTGAAAACTCAGTCAACCTACCCACCAGATCCTCACGCTGTTCATCAAGAAAATTCGTGATGGCGGTCACAACATTGGCTGGAGGGCTGTCAAAGTCCACGCCATAGTGCTCACGGGAGACCGACCTGTCAAACGAGCGTGGAGGAAGTCTCTCCTTCAGTAGACGCTTCCGGCTGCCCAATTTGACGCCATCTTCAGCTGCCTCATCTGCCTCCGAAACCTCGAATGAGTACGTCTCCGCGCCACGTTCTACAGATACCAGGTTTTTCTACAAGCAATAATGTCCAAAATGCACCCCTACAGATGTGAACTCGGTGCTTTTGAAAGCCGACTCGATTGCGTTTTCCTGCAACACTGACTGCAAACGCAATTAGAATTCTTCTTCTGCTTCTTTGAATCAACCCCACTCACAGAATTCTTGCCTATGCGAGTTAGATGAGTCCACATACTGACGGATGAGTATACGAGGTATTTTTGCTGGTGGTAAACGACATTCGCCCTCGTCATCGGAGCTACGGGACGACAATTCACCACTTGATAAATCACGCGCTCCAACTGACATCCTAAAAGGACACGAAATACCATGTCACGTCAAACCCTACTGCTACCTAAATTGGTGAACAAAGACACAACAGTTTAATTGCATACTGTACAAGTGATGATCATGCGGTTAACATGCACAGGAATAAAACGGTGTGAAGGTAATTCAACGACACAGAACAATGTGCCCTAAAAATTTGTAAAAGTGATAAAAGAAAACTATTTAGTGGCAATAATGTCCGCTTCTAAAAACATAATGAATTAAAAACCACAACCAAAATACAACTCCGACTAGCCTCAAGAGCATACCCTAGAACTTTATTGAAATGTCGCTTGTGAGAATGACAGATTAAAACATGCATTAAACACAACTACTTTGAGTAAGTCGTTGCAAACAGTTTGTAATTTCTAACGTAATCCATTTAAGTTATATGTTTTTACAAAATATCTAACTATGAATTTTTAATGCAGTACCAAGTTCTTTCAAATAATTACTTTTGAAATTGGAATGATAGAGATCGTTAGGCTAACAATCGGAAGCAATTTCAATTTGCTATTAGGTAATAGGCTTGATTCAGTTATAAATATACATGGCACAGGTTCTACTCTAGACAACCAAAATGAGTGACCTATTAATCCGAACACCCTCCTTCGACTTTGACCCAATCATTCCTCAGGCTGCAATACCAGCTATAATTTAGTCGTATTGGCTAATAGTGTTGCAATACTCTTTATTAATCTTCGCTTAAGAGAACACCACAAGTTCTGCAAGGTCACTATTGTTAAGTTTTAAATTTATTACATTTTTTTAAACTTTTACTCTGAGGTATTTTCTTCGTGACCCATTGAATCATTGCCCTTAAGATGTCGTTGAGGAAGTTTCCCTGAAGCGGCGCCCATAATTAACAGGATTTTCGTTGATTTACTTGGATGTTGATGAAAGTTAGATTGTTTTTTCTAAATGTCGAAGTAGCAATTGCGACGAAATTAGTTGGTTCCATAATAGGGTTCGTCCCTAAATTACATATCAAGTGTTTCCGTTAGCTTGACAAAGTTCCTGTGGTCAGCATTGAGTTGTATATGGGGATCAACATTTAAACTTCGACTCGTGGGCTGCGTTGTTGCCCAGAATAAATGTGCAGAACATCAAACCCTGCAGCAATTCGTGTCAAGTGGAGATAAAACACACGTATATTATAGGCAACATTCGCGAGGATACAAAAAGCGATCTTTCTAATGGTTAAACCAATAACAATCTCAAATGCATTGCATAGGTTAAAATTAATAATACACCTTACGAGTGAATTTTTTAAATTGACGGGTAGGTTGATAGATGCTTGAAACTATTTCAACTGCAACGACTGAGATTTGGTTATAGTAATGATAGAGGCATAGTTCTTGTATCAAATCCCCTTATTTCGGAAAGGCTGATTTGGCATCTGCAACAAAAGCATGTAAGACACGGTAAAACTGATCAGCTGTTGGTAGATATTAATTATTTGAGGATTATACAAACTCTCGCCCAATTTAGAGCTACAAGTGTGTGGAAATAACATACCACACATGTACCATTTGCTCCTCCTTGCCAGTAGCTCAAAGATGAATGAGAATCTAGGGCGCTAAGTACTTTTTGGACGTCTGCCCACTATTTGTGTAGTTTTAGTTCAAATAGGGTAAGTCTGTCAACTGTGTGCATATTTGTCTCGATATTGTCGTAGTGTAGTCAGGCCAGATCCCAATCGGTGGCCTTGACGTGATTCAAGACTACATGTTGGAGCCCACATCAATACAAATGATAAATTTTACAAGTTATTTATTGTTAAAGCTAACAGATTTAGATTTGACGTCCTAACGATAATGTGTCTAGGGTGCAAATAAGTCTGACTTCACAATTCTTACGCAGTTATCTTCTTTGCGTCATCCAGTGGTCAGCACGTTTTAAAACATCGATTTCAGTGTCACAATTAACGACTTTTAGCAAAGAAATTTCATCGCTAAATGAGCTGCAGCACATCCAGCACCAACAATGAATTTACTGTGACCAACTCGTCCGCCACAGATCAAAGGGAAATCACAGACGACTTCTCATTAATATCTTGTCCCCTACGATGTTAAGCAGCACACCGAAGCAGTGTTCTAATTACTAGCAAAACGTGACTTGAAGTTTGGTTCAAAGAACTTGAGGCTTGATTTCGTATTTACATCAATGCGTCAGAACAGTGGCCCAATCGCCTGTTGATATAGTCAGACACGTGGCTAATCTGGCCAATCCAATCATACAGGAGAATGACAAGTCACAGTTGAAATGCACAATTATCAAAAGTATGCAAAAATTAAATTACGACCAATCGGGAGGAGAAATAAGCGGAAGCTAATTGGGTCACACATTAACGACTCAACTGCCATGACCTGCATAATGGTTAAGATATCGAAGACTGGGGGCTACGCCAGTACTGGATTAAATGCCTACCAGAAGAGACGAGGCACATTGTCAAATGGTTTAATTCTGACCCGCCACTTGACAAGCTGGCTTAAATAGCAAATAAGTAACATAGCTATTTGCTGAGGAGATATTTTATGAAGAGACGGCAAAGACTTGAGTCATTGCGATCTGATCCTGTTCTCTTATTTCACAGAAGAAATTGCAAATCTTTTTCTGGTCTGAGTTGATAGTGAAATGCAGCCGGAAAAACGTTGAAATTATAAGAGTAGGGGGAGTGCGACATGACTATTTCTTGCATTGCATCAATGCGCAAATAGCTGTGGGTAGCGCGGACGATAAATGAATTTACTGAGCCCAAATTTTGTTTATTTTACGGAGATCCCTTTAGAATTACTGAAAACAAAATGAATAGACGCGATTTACATTTCGTTCCGACGATCGTTTAACGATTCAATTTAAAGAGTTTCTATTAAAAGCGACAATCTGCCACATTAAACACCAGCAAATTAACTACCACAATAAGCGGTTAGGTTACAGCTGACTCCAGTCATCGCATCACTTTCTAGATACTAGGTGCTGAATTAAGTTTTATTATCAATGTAGTTTAGGAAAGAGTTAGCAACCCAGGATAGCATAATGAAGCATGTATAGAAGTATGAAGTAGAATGAGGTTAATTTACGCAATAAATTCTGTTACCTCTTAAGTGGCGTTGTTAATTTCAACTAAAACCAGGGAGTTGGTGTTGGCACTTTCGATTGAAGCCAAGGTGTTTCAAAGGCAGTGTACTAGGTTAGTTGAATAGCCAATTCTCATACATGGTACCTACATCTGTTTGATAGGAATCTAGCATAACGAAAATTTATCTGGTCGCATTAGTTAAATGAATCTTGAAATCTAGTCCACATGAAAGAGAGATTATCTTAATAAGCAAATTTTGGAAAAAACTATGCCGATGCCGTTCTGGCGAAAAGGGAAATTGAGTTTACAATTGTAATGTGCCAGTGGTCAAAGACAAGGTCAAGCCTAAAGGCGTCCTAGGTATTATGATTTTGTGAAGTGTGAATTGGGTTTAACTAAACACAAAACAACTGCTAAATACTAAAGAAAATTATTTGCAAACGTAGTGGAATTAAAGAATAAGCCGTGATAAGCTATAACCGCTAAGCTTACTTATTTAGACTTAAGCCTAATTACTGTTCTGTAAATTCCTTTTTTCAAAACATAAATATATGGATTTTGGTTAAGACAATAGGCAAGAGTATTTAGCATTTAATGCATCAACTATTCTTGAAAATCTAGGATACGCAATTTTTGAGTCTTCTACTTACACAAATATTTGCAAAACTTTTTCTTATATTTGTGGAGTAATTGTATTCTATTATTCAATGCTTGCCTGGACTTAATTTTGTCGGTTATTTAAACTTACGACAAACCAAGCCTGATAAATCTCCAAGACCATACAAGACTCCACGTGCATAAATGTTATGAACATTCCAAATTATTTTTTGTAGCATCTGTAATACTAATCGTACGAAGTTAATGTGACTTTTGTCACTGTTTCACAAAGCACCGCATTTAAATAATCGGCAATTTGGCATGGCCAAAGGTCCCATGATTTCACCCAGGTCCTATGATTTATCATTCAACAGTACTTCCTTCTGTCATGAATTGCAGAAGCCTTAAAATACTTCTAGAAAGTGTTATGCTGACATATAACTTTAAAATGCGCATTCTAGCAAACATAAAATATTCCAGCAGCTCCAAAATTGACCTCATATATTTACAATTTTGCCCAGGTAGTAAAAAATTAGATATCCATATTTTCTTCTTAGTAGCCTCTTTAAACGCTTCGTGTTAGCTGTCATGGATACGGTTGTTCATTAGGCTTCAAAAATAAGGCAACAAAGAAGGTGATGTAATGAAAATACGGCTGTGTTGAAGCAACACTTTATTCGACAGAATGCTTTATACGTTTATGTATCATGGTATTTTACTGCAATTAGCACGAGATTAGCACCAACGAAGGAGCGGAATGCTTCATACTTGAAACCGATGCGATCACAGATAAAATTGCTTTTGCCCTTAAATGAAATCCCACACTCGCATAATCAACACCTCAGATTTCATAGGTGACACTAGGAATGACATTGTGAGTTCAGGAAAACACAAGTCCTCGTACAGATGGCTTCTTATCTCCGAGACAGGGTGATAATTCAGCAAGTAGCTCCGTAATTAAGTCAAGAAGGAATTTGACCTGGCGAATCAAGCCTGGTTAACACACAGTTTGAGCTGTCAATGGTGTAAAGTGATGGTAGACTCACTTGTGTGGCGTGGTTAGGGATTTGTGTTAACAAAGACGAAGTCGAGACTAACGGTGATTGCTATCGGCTTTATCCTGACTCACGATATGGAACCTGGTGGAGTTGGTCTTAAGAAGGATGAGTGTGTGGTGGTGTGTCAGCCATTGCGTTTGAGTGAGGCGTGCATGCTCACCTATTTGTGTCAACGACGCATCCCTACTTCTGTCTTCTTTCTCTTGACCAATAAAGCGGCTGTGATATTCTGGATATTTAAAGTG